TAATAATTAAAAGCCTAGCATATCTTTGACTGTGCTTGTATTCTGCTGAAAAATTAAATACTGAAAATAACATTACGGGCAATTATTGCGAAGTGTTGCGTGATCTGTTAGCACTCAGAATACATATTATGTGCGAGTCTGAACTATTAACATACCAAACTGTAGCTCAATATCTGCAAAATTGGCTGAGTTATATCATTTGTGTTGACTAAGTTAGATTAGCTGTGGTAGCCATCTTTAATTGGGTGCCTAAATTATTTAGATCAGGTTTTTTTCTTTTTGTTAGTTTGTTTTTGGTAAAGTTGAATTATTTTTGTTTTTGCCAGCAAAGGAAACTAGCCTAATAAGTTAATAATTAAAAAAATAGTCTCACCACCTACGACAGGACCATGGGGTCTCTGTGGGTGAAAAGCATGTATTCAAAAATAAGCAGTCTCAAACACCTTGGACTGGCTTTAAATTTCAATATTTTGTGGGAATTGGGCAGGCGTACTGCCTACAACAGTGTGTCCAAATGCATTTTTTATCGCCAGGATATTATCAAACTGTCTCTTTACATTAAGATCTGGCCAGATGCCTAGCTGAGTACTGGTGTCCATCCTTGAAAAGTTTTGAAAAGCAACACTGTAGCCAAAAAGTACCAAGGTGTCAGGCTGCAGTATGTTCTTTACCTCCTGAACTCTCCACCCCAAACCCAGTCTTTCCATTTGAGACTGTCTTATAAGAGCTGGAGCCATGTCAGGACAAAGGGTTCTGGTTTTTGGCCTAAAGAGAGTCCTGATCAAGGACAGATCGTCTCACCATAGAGATTAAATAAAACAATGGGCCTCATGCAAGAACATGTTCGTATTCTTATCCTAAATTTCTCTTACTTTTGTTCGTATGAAGGGTTCGTACAAACATGTCACGTCAGATTCAACAAACTCTTCTATCTTCAGGAAAAGTGTGTAAATGAGCTGCGTAAATTACACCTGTTCGTATCCAGCTGCTTGTGCACGCGAGAGGAGATTAGCATAATTACCACCCCAAAAACACCATACAAGGCTACGTTTCCTGCCTCAGATACAAGGAAGTGTCTATTCAGGAAAGTGACAGCGAAAATTTAAAAAAAAGAAAAATTTTAGAGTTCAGAGATTGAAGTCCGTCTGTCAGAGATTCATAAATGAAAATCTGTCATTTTTTGCAGCGTCAGCTGTGGAATAAAAAGAGCTGCTAAAAGTATAAACAACTGTGTTAAATCATTTTCATTTATTCAGAAGCCACACTGTCGCGCACCGCACCCCCCACCTCCGCGCGGTCGCAAGTGGTCTCAGTTGCGGGTCTGAAATAAGCATTTTAAAACGTTTTCAAAATATGTCTGGCCCTTTGGAGAAAATCCAGGACTTGCTGGAGGGATTATGTATCCCCTCTGGCCTGGGAACATCTCGGAGTCCCCCGGGACGAGCTGGAAAATGTCGCAGGGGAGAGCGAGGTCTCTCTGCTGCTACCCCCGCGACCCGATCCCAGCTAAGCAGCAGAAAACGGACGGACAATTTATATTGTTAGTCTAAATTATTACATCCATCCATCCATCCATTTTCTTCCGCCTATCGGG